GCTTTTCCAACAGTCTTGAAGGAGTTCCCACACACGCTGAGCACTTGTTATTTGCTTTTCCTTCACTCTGCGGTCCAACTCATCCCAAACCATCTCAATTGGGTTGAGGTCGGATGATTGTGGAGGCCAGGTCATCTGATGCAGCACTCCATCACTTTCCTTCTTGGTCAAATAGCCCTTACACAGCCTGGAGGTGTGTTTTGGGTCATTGTCCTGTTGAAAAACAAATGATAGTCCCACTAAGCGCAAACCAAATGGGATTGCGTATCGCTGCAGAAGGCTGTGGTAGCCATACTGGTTAAGTGTGCCTTGAATTCTAAATTAATCACAGACAGTGTCACCAGCAAAGCACCATCACACCTCCTCTATGCTTCACGGTGGGAACCACACATGCGGAGATCATCCGTTCACCTACTCTGCGTCTCACAAAGACACGGCGGTTGGAACCAAAAATCTCAAATTTGGACTCATCAGACCAAAGGACAGATTTCCACCGGTCTCATGTACATTGCTCGTGTTTCTTGGCCCAAGCAAGTCTCTTCTTATTATTGGTGTCCTTTAGTAGTGGTTTCTTTGCAGCAATTCGACCATGAAGGCCTGATTCACGCAGTCTCCTCTGAACAGTTGATGTTGAGATGTGTCTGTTACTTGAACTCTGTGAAGCATTTATTTGGGCTGCAATCTGAGGTGCAGTTAACTCTAATTAACTTATCCTCTGCAGCACAGGTAACTCTGGGTCTTCCTTTCCTGTGGCGGTCCTCTTGAGAATTACTTTCATCATAGCGCTTGATGGTTTTTCCAACTGCACTTGAAGAAACATTAAAAGTTCTTGAAATGTTCCGTATTGACTGATCTTCATGTAATGATGGACTGTCGTTTCGCTTTGCGCTGTTCTTGCCATAATATGGACTTGGTCTTTTACCAAATAGAGCTATCTTAATGTATACCAACCCTACCTTGTCACAACACAACTGATTGGCTCAAACGCATTAAGGAAAGAAATTCCACAAATTAACTTTTAACAAGGCACACCTGTTAATTGAAATGCATTCCAGGTGACTACCTCATAAAGCTGGTTGAGAGAATGCCAAGAGTGTGCAAAGCTGTCATCAAGGCAAAGGGTGCCTACTTTGAAGAATCTCAAATATAAAATATATATATATTTATAAATAATGGTGTGTATAGACAGTTTGGACCGTATATGAATAGAAAAGGTGTGTACAGCAGTAGTTGTATAGAATGAGCCATGACTAGAATATAGTATATACATATAATGTGGGTAAAACAGTATGTAAACATTATTAAAGCAACCAGTGTTCAATTACTCTATAGTGCACAGCAGTCTCTAAGGTGCAGGGTACAGTACCGGGTGGTAGCCGGCTAGTTACAGTGACTAAGGTTCAAGGCAGGGTACTGGGTGGAGGCCGGCTAGTGGTGTCTATTTAACAGTCTGATGGCCTGGAGATAGAAGTTTTCTATCAACCTCTCAGTCCCAGCTTTGATGCACATGTATTGTCTCCTCCTTCTAGATGGTAGCAAGGTGAACAGGCCATGGCTAGGGTGGATGAGGTCCTTGATGATCTTCTTGGCCTTCCTGTGACACCGGTTGCTTTAGATGTGTCCCCCATGATGCGTTGGGCTGACCACACCACCTTCTGGACAGCCCTGCTGTTGCGGATGGAGCAATTGCCGTACCAGGTGGTGATACAGCCCGACAGGATGCTCTCAATGAAGCATCTGAAGAAGTTTGTGAGGGTCTTAGGGGCCAAGATGAATTTCTTCAGCCTCCTGAGGTTGAAGATGCGCTGTTGCTCCTTCTTCACCAAACTGTCTGTGTGAAGAGACTATCTCACGTCGTCAGTGATGTGCACACACACAATGTCAAGACCACTCACCATTGCTAATTAAAGATCACACACACACCTCTAAACCTCTACTGGGCTGTACTACTGAACTAAAAGTATATCCCACCTAACCCCCATCCCCCAAGCAAATTTATTTCATACATATGTTCACTCTTTCCAAAAAGCCCACTCCACACCCATTGGCCCCGCAGATGAAAAAGAGCCTGTGGTTTTTGAGGACAGGAGAGCAGCAGCAGCAAGAGAGGAAACTCTGCTCTCAATGTTCATGAAGGACTCTCATAAAGGAGTACAGTATGTGACAAGGCCAGCACTGTTCATTCATAGGACCATTGTATATGACTATCTATAGCACATAATGTTATGGCTTTGGGACTAAGACACTGAAAATGGATCTCAAACTAAATTAAATGTTTGTTGATTTAGTGGTTAGCTGGTTGGGTCGGGCGTTTTAGTAACCCTGTTCCACTGCTGCATAGCTGAATGTTAAATACTGTATCAGATAAGTTATATTTTAAGTTGTTCAAGTGATTCTGTATGATTCTAACATTACAGCAACGTAATACCCTCTAATGGAATATCCACATGCAACTCAAACTTTTTATGCTTACCTTCCATTGCTTTCAATGCTCTAATCTTGGCTCAAGAACAAGCCATGCATACATATCCCAACTAAGCATTTCTGTCCCAAATAAAACCACTAAAATTAATATATTAGGGAGAGACGGCAACCCACCATTTTTCTGTGGCATTGTGCCATGATGCCGAGTACCTGTCAGGGATGCCAGGTAACACTAATACCAACCATTCAACCATTCACACTAATGCCCCTGGAACCCAGTTGCTAGGAGACCCTGTCCCACCATCTGCTGCTATGGAGATAGAGTGGGAGGACCGGGCACAATGGAGAAACCGGTGATGATAACCAGCTGAGGCTAATATCCTCTTCAGACATCCAATGTTCAAAATGTCTAGCCGCATCTACTTTTACACATTATGTACCAACCTTTAGAGTCAGGTAGATGTTAGGACAAATGCTTTTGCCTCATGGGATAATAAATGCATGTATGAACATGTATCAGTTATGCAAGTTTCTCTGAAATCCATAGTAGTGTTATCCTAACAGCTGGAAAGTCAAAACATATGTACGATACAATTAGCCTGGTTGCCAGATCTGTTTCTGTTTAAGCCAGGTCATTTCTTGTTTTTGTCATCACAAAAGCCAAAGTTGGCTCAAGTACAAAACAAGACTGGTAACCAGGCAAGTAAAAAACATACTTTGGCCTCTGCTTCAGATCAATCAAATGAGAATCTTTATTGAGTCCCGATTTATATTGCCATCAACTTTCCTTCCTTCACAACCCCCCCCCCCCCCCCCACCCAAAAAAACATTTTCAAATAGTAAAAAAGTAGGAAATCTAACTGTCCCACAAGGCGCCCCAAGACAGACAGCAGAGCATACATAATCATCAATTGAATAAATGAATAAATAAATAAAACATTGAATATGGCTATTTACATGGTGTAATACAGTCTATCGTTATATAATAATAATGCTTATGTTCATAGTGAATATACAGGTATTAACATTGTAATTGTCTCAACCAAACAATGCATTATCTCACAGAGAAAGGCCAGGGTTTGACAGTGGCTCTCGGCCAATCGCAATCTTTCATTCTGCAACTTCCTGATACAAGCAATCTAGGCAGGTCCATTGTTTGGTCAACTTATTGTTGATGGGAGAGTCTTTGGTTGTTGTGCTGGGACGTGTGACACCCTCTGATTGGGTACTTCCACTGTCCGTCACATTCTGTGGCTATCAATTGGTTATCCTGTTCCAGACTGTAGAAAGTCAATTTTAACTGTTGGTAATTCTCTAATCTTGTAAAATCAGCAAAACAAATAAGCAAGGAGGCAGCGGAGGAGGCAGACCCAGGTAAACAGAGAACTGCCAGTTCACAAACATCAGTCTGTGAAGAATTTGCTGTAGAAACAGATCTAGAATCAGCTTACCCTCTCCATATCCTCACCTTAACCACTTGCGGGGAAACACAACACTAACTTTAGATCAGCGTCTAGGCACGAGGCACTCCACTTGCCTCATTTCATCATCAGTTTGCATCACCGTTATAATGTCAGCCTTGAGCATTACTTTGAAACTGAAAAAAGCTAAGGGTGCTACCTAACTTTTTTTTTCTGTCTCTTTACCCAGTTGACATGAAGACCTCTTGCACTCCGCCACTGTTCATCGTACATTCCACCATTACTGAAACATTTACAGAGGTGGTAATAGCACACCCAGAAAGGCAAAAGGATGACAACTTGAGTGACACCTCATTTTTAAGATTGCTACCATTGATTGGAATTGAGGGGTGAGAGAGGAACTACCAAAGCTGCTACCTTTGAACAAAGGGAGTAGGAGGGGAGATTGTCCCCAAACAAGACCAAATAAATTCATAAATAAAACAATACCTTAAACTCATGCTCGAATAAATAAAAAAACAAAGAACAGTCAAGCAGTTTTAGATTTCTGACAATCAGTATCAATCCCTCAAAGTTTTGGATGATTTCAGGCTCCAAGAAGTCTGGTGATTCTGGTTGGTTGATTGGTTTGTGTCTTCCGTGTGTGTGAAGGTGGAAGGATCCACATAGGGTAGTGTGGGTGATTGTAGGTAAAAAAATGTAATTTCCCCTCATTGTAGGGTTGGTGGATCTTGGGGGTCCATCCTTGTCTGTCCAGCACCATGTTCATTGTCCATCTCATTCATCCCCCAGATAGACCATTACCTATGACCTATATCCCTTAACCTGTGGGCTCCTGTCCACCCTGAGGCCTGGGACAAGCATCAGCATGCAGTATGAATACAAACATGTCTCTGTGCCACTGTGTGCATGTGTGTGCGTGTGTGTGTGCGTGTGTATATCTGTATATTCTGTAGACTGGAAATTATTTATCATTCTTGTAAACACACAAGCACACACACACCCTTACACCTATGTATTGTGGGGGTACATGAACTGCGTGTCAGGTGGATAGGGTCATGTGGATGAGCTAGCAGTAAACCTTATTGGTGAGTCCAACACTGAGCCATGCCCTACTGCTAAGCCACGCCTCTCCAACACTCTAGGTCTGCCCACTCAGTCCCAGCCATTGTCCTTGATCATGTGGGCCAGCTCGATAATGAACTTCCCCTCCTTATACTTCTGACTGCTCTCAAAGGCATGCTCCTGCAGAGAGAGAGAGAGAGAAATACAGTGGGGGTAGGAATAATGGAGAGGGAAAAGAGGATAGAAAGAGAGAAAGATAGAGACAGGGACCAAGAACGGGAAAGAGGGAAGAGAGAGAGACAGTCACAAACACTAGTGAACGGATAAAACAAGCATTTTCATGAATGTAAACAGTGCTTTGATGTTTTCTGTCTGGGGTAATCTCTCTTTCTTGTTGTTTTATACGTAATCTCAGTGTGAGTGATTGTGTGTGTGTGTGTGTGTGTGTGTATTTGTGCGTGAGTTAGTAAGTGAAAGTTATTGTGTGTGTGTGTATTTGCGTGTGTGAGTGATAGTGTGTTTGTGTGTTTATCATCCCCCCGTTGATAAGTGTACTAGGTCAGCAGCACCACCTTTGGCAGTGTGACAGTGAGGGAGCATCAGGCCTCGTGGAGGATATTAATAATAATATCACACAGATGGTAGCGCCATAAAACACTACAAGGCCGCGTACCGTCCAGGTCTCTCTCGCTGACCTCCTCGCACGCACGCACACGCACACATACACACACACCTTAACCCACATAGTTAGCCACAAAGTGGCGCCAGGGACCAGCAATGTGGAGCATTTATGTCTATAGATGTGTTAAACACCTGTATGTCTACAGAACTGTTTGTAGGGGATTCCTATGCTAATTAGTTACTCACGTATTTCCAGCCCAGTGTGGTTTTACAGTTTTCACAGTAGATATCAGCCACTGCATGAAGCCCTGTCAACAATACCCTCTCTTCTGCTGGTCCACACCCCACGTTCACCCTGAGCGGGGGAGAGAGAGAGGAATAATGTTATAAACGGAGAGAAAGGTGAAGAAAAGAAAGAGTGAGAAATAGAGAAAGAGGGGGTGTCAGAGGAGAGAGGGATGAAGTGATCAAATGGGGGTTTGACTTAGAGAATAATAAAATAGGCTCAGGTACTTACACTGAGTTGAACAGGTACGCTCGGCCTTGACTTCCTTGGAAAGACTGGACGAGAAAGAGAGAGAGAGAGAGAGAGAGAACAGGATGAGAAAAGTCATACATTCCTATCACAGGAGTAGACATTTAGAATGGTCGGTAGTTTTTTTCATTTGTCTTACATAGCTTCAAAGCAGACACATGGCATAGCTCATGTTCCTAAAACAAAGGCATTCCATTCTCTATTCCATTCAAAAAAATATTGTTTATATGTTAATTATTGTTATTCTTAGATCTTTTTTTTCCCTTGACATGGTCAAATAACTCAAGCATAGATAAGTAACTTTTTTTCAAATTTGGCACACAGAAACTAGAGGCCATGAGTAACTTGGTCAAAAGAATGGCGCCGATTGGCCTATATGTGGCGCTGTTATAAGTAGTCTCACTTCAACCCTAGTATCCGCCGCCCCGTTTGACCTAGAGACTTGAAACTTTGTATGTTTAGCAGATGTTATTGCGGGTGTAGCGAAAATGCTTGTGTTCCTAGCTCCAACAGTGCAGTAATATCTAACAATACACAACACTACACACATATTAAGAAATATAGAAATATTAGGATGAGCAATGTCGGAGTTCAGAGTATACAGTGCATTCGGAAAGTATTCAGACCCCTTGACTTTTTCCACATTTTGTTACGTTACAGCCTTATTCTAAAATGGATCAAAATATTGTTTTCCTCAATCTACACACAATACCCCAAAATGACAAAGTGAAAACAGGTTTTTAGAATTTTTTGCAAAGGTATTAAAAATGTAAAAAAGAATATCTTATTTACATAAGCATTCAGACCCTTTGCTATGAGAAAAAGTCAAGGGGTCTGAACACTTTCCAAATGCACTGTATATATTATATATAATATTATGTGATGGGATGTATAGACATTATGGACAGTATGTGGATAGAATAAATAGTATATCTGAAGAATAACATTTACATTTGACATTTTTGTCATTTAGCAGACGCTCTTATCCAGAGCGACTTACAGTTAGTAAGTGCATACATTTTTATTTGTTTATTTTTCATACTGGCCCCCCGTGGGAATCAAACCCACAACCCTGGCGTTGCAAGCGCCATGCTCTACCAACTGAGCTACACGGGGCCCACGGTGTACATTCAATACAGTGCAGTGTCCACTTATAACCTTAGCTCTCACACCCTCCCTTCCACAAAGATATACGTCAGTACTTTTCCCATCACCCAGGATTTCTCCGTGCATATCATAAGACTTCTTATCAGTCAGGAGAGGCTTTGAGTTATTGGGAGCACACATTCCTATAGTTCACTAAATAATTACACTTCTCATACACAAAGAGCTTGAACCTAACACTACTTTCAATCTCCAAGGATATCAAAACAATCTAATATAAAACAGTAATGATATAGAACAGTAATTTACAATCTATCAGATGAAAAACACACACACACACAATAAGTGGATAGAATAGTATATGTACAGCAATAGTTGAATAGGATGGCCTTGACTAGAATACAGTATATACATATGAAATGGGTAAAACAGTATGTAAACATTATTAAAGTGACCAGTGTTCCATGTCTACAGTATGTACATAGGACAGCAGCCTCTAAGGTGCAGGGATGAGTAACTGGGTGGTAGCCGGATAGTGACAGTGACTAAGTTCAGGGCAGTGTACTGGGTGGAGGCCTACTAGTGATGGCTATTTAACAGTCTGATGGCCTTGAGATAGAAGCTGTTTTTCGGTCCCAGTTTTGATGCACTTGTAATGACCTCGCCTTCTGGATGATAGCGGGGTGAACAGGCCGTGGCTAGGGTGGCTGAAGTCCTTGACGATCTTCTTGGCCTTCCTGTGACACCGGGTGCTGTAGATGTCCTGAACGGAAGGCAGTGTGCTCCCAGTGATTCGTTGGGCAGACCGCACCACCCTCTGGAGAGCCCTGCATTTGTAGACGGTGCAGTTGCCATACCAGGCGGTGATACAGCCCGACAGGATGCGCTCAATGGTGCATCTGTAAAAGTTTGTGAGGGTCTTAGGGGCCAAGCCACATTTCTTCAGCGTCCTGAGGTTGAAGAGGCGCTGTTCACCACACTGTCTGTGTGGGTGGACCATTTCAGATTGTCAGTCATGTGTACGCAGAGGAACTTGAAGCTTATCACATACTTATATATACATATACATACATATAAATAAATACAGTGGGGGAAAAAAGTATTTAGTCAGCCACCAATTGTGCAAGTTCTCCCACTTAAAAAGATGAGAGAGGCCTGTAATTTTCATCATAGGTACACGTCAACTATGACAGACAAATTGAGCATTTTTTTTCCAGAAAATCACATTGTAGGATTTTTTATGAATTTATTTGCAAATTATGGTGGAAAATAAGTATTTGGTCACCTACAAACAAGCAAGATTTCTGGCTCTCACAGACCTGTAACTTCTTCTTTAAGAGGCTCCTCTGTCCTCCACTCGTTACCTGTATTAATGGCACCTGTTTGAACTTGTTATCAGTATAAAAGACACCTGTCCACAACCTCAAACAGTCACACTCCAAACTCCACTATGGCCAAGACCAAAGAGCTGTCAAAGGACACCAGACGTGTCCCCCTGCTTAAGCCAGTACATGTCCAGGCCCGTCTGAAGTTTGCTAGAGTGCATTTGGATGATCCAGAAGAGGATTGGGAGAATGTCATATGGTCAGATGAAACCAAAATAGAACTTTTTGGTAAAAACTCAACTCGTCGTGTTTGGAGGACAAAGAATGCTGAGTTGCATCCAAAGAACACCATACCTACTGTGAAGCATGGGGGTGGAAACATCATGCTTTGGGGCTGTTTTTCTGCAAAGGGACCAGGACGACTGATCCGTGTAAAGGAAAGAATGAATGGGGCCATGTATCGTGAGATTTTGAGTGAAAACCTCCTTCCATCAGCAAGGGCATTGAAGATGAAACGTGGCTGGGTCTTTTAGCATGACAATGATCCCAAACACACCGCCCGGGCAACGAAGGAGTGGCTTCGTAAGAAGCATTTCAAGGTCCTGGAGTGGCCTAGCCAGTCTCCAGATCTCAACCCCATAGAAAATCTTTGGAGGGAGTTGAAAGTCCGTGTTGCCCAGCGACAGCCCCAAAACATCACTGCTCTAGAGGAGATCTGCATGGAGGAATGGGCCAAAATACCAGCAACAGTGTGTGAAAACCTTGTGAAGACTTACAGAAAACGTTTGACCTGTGTCATTGCCAACAAAGGGTATATAACAAAGTATTGAGAAACTTTTGTTATTGACCAAATACTTATTTTCCACCATAATTTGCAAATAAATTCATTAAAAATCCTACAATGTGATTTTCTGGATTTTTTTCCCTCATTTTGTCTGTCATAGTTGACGTGTACCTATGATGAAAATTACAGGCCTCTCTCATCTTTTTAAGTGGGAGAACTTGCACAATTGATGGCTGACTAAATACTTTTTTCCCCCACTGTATACATACATATCCTTTTCATGTCCATCCAATTTGCTTCTATATGCCATATCTTTCTAACTGTGCTCTTTCACAAAAGCCCTCAACCTATAACCTATAAACTTATTATGGACACAGTATGCTTTACATTAGTTCTCTTGTTGTTATTAGTTGTTGTTAGTTGTTATTAGTCCCATCCTTCAGCTCCATTCAACACCTCCCATCTATCTCTTAACACCATTCATAATGGATTTCTATTTGCCATATATTTTTCAACTGTACTGTGATGTTTCACAAAAGTTCTGAACCCTTCTATTCTCATTGTTTCTACAGATTGTAAATTGAAAAGAAACATTTTTGCTAAAAGTATTATTATATTATTGATCGATTGACTATGACACCCAGTAGTGCTATCTGCAGGGTTAGCTCCAGGTAAATATTGCAATCCTTCAGCCATTCCTGGACCTGTGACCAAAAACAAGTTACAAATGGACAGTACCAAAACAAATGATCTAATGATTCTGTCTCTTCGCAGCAAAATCTGCAGAGCTGGGAAGATTATATTCCCCATATAAATAACATTCTATTGGTAGCAAGAATTTTGTATAATAATTTAAATCGAAAAATTCTAAGTTTTGAATCCGGCATCGTTTTGCGTATCAGTTCATAAACACTATGCCATGGAATCGGTATGTCAAAAATCTCTTCCCAACTATTTTGCAATCTATATGGGACGGCTGTCAATCCTTTGGTCCTTAAATGAAACTGGTATACTTTTTAATTTCTTTAACCAATTATGTTCTTTAATGCAGGGCCGACAGACAAGTTCCTTACTTTTTCCCCCTTCCACTTTCCTCTTCCATTTTTGTGTAATGCTGCAATTATTTGGTTGTAATTTTGGGTAGAGCAGACATTTTCATATGTTTTTGTTAGCTGCATGTGCAACAGAACTCCACCAGTTCTACCTATGATATAATTTACGAAGATTATACTTTTATTTTTTATATTTTTTATATATATTTTTTAATCAATTAGTATATTTGAGTTTAACCACAATATTTGTTGCATTATTTGTTCTGTCGTTTCTGGAGGATTAAATTGAAATTGCAACCACATTTCTATGGCTTGTTTTAGAAACAGTGGTATTTGGGAGATGATTTCCTTTTCAAATAACTAAAAGTGAGAGGTTGTAATGGCATTGCAGTGCGGTCGTGTATTATGTTGTGTCCTCGTGTAAATCGTTTTTTTGTTTTTTTTCGTGTATATTTCTCTATCTCACTTTCCATCCTTAACTAAATATACTTTCCTGCAACCCGCCTCACCCAATGTGGAACGGATTCTATTATTTCTTCATACCTTTTATCAAGAACCCACATCTGAAACTAGCCAGCTAGCCAGCTAACTAGCTACTTGCTATTAGCTATTGCTATTAGCCACCGTTAGCAGTCTTCACCACTGTCCGTGGCCTGCACTACCTACCAGCCAGCTCTAGCCTGGACAATTATCGGCCAGTCTGCACAGCGTGCTATCGACCCAGAGCATTTAGGATTTTCTGCCGGAATCACTGAATCACT